TTTATAACTTGATGTTGTTAAGGTTTAAGAGTGATTTTCCAGTTTCATACTTAAGAGTACAGAACCATACTAATACGTCAGCGGCAGTGGCGGAGTCACCATCTAATTGTAGCCCGGGTCAAATTTTTTTACATATTACATTATCAAATTTTTTATGGTAATTACATAAAATTATTAGGGAAAAAGTTTACTATATAAAATTTTAGCATACTGATATAAATTATTTACTAAATAATGTCACAAAACATTAAAAATTCAAATGAATAATTGCCAATGATTATATATCAAAGTCAATACATAAAAAGGCACTAACCTTTCCAGCAAGAACTTCAAACATAAGAATTGCACTTTCTTCCCACACCATAATAAGCAATGAGCCAAGTATTGTCTTAAGGATATAAAAAAACGCAAATATAATAATTATATGTACAATAACATTTAATAAATAATTTAAAATATAATAAAAAAGTTACATACCTAAAATTGTAAACGACGCTCTTTTAAATTGACGAAATCTTCAAGGATAGAATCTATAGTGAAAGTTTTAGCAATCTCTCTTTCAATATACACAACTAAATTATTTGCAAGAAAGTCATCCTCCATTTTGTTTCGAAGCCTTGTTTTCACAATTTTCATTGCTGAAAATGCACGCTCACTACTTGCTATTGAAACAGGTAGTGTTAAGATAAGACAAATTAGCCTATCAACCAAATGATAGAAATTTGACTTTCCTGTCTTAGCTAATCCTTGACACAACTCAGAAATTGAAGATAAATTTTGAAGTTCCAGATTTTTTGGGATGTCCTTGTGAAAATGCTTCAATTGACAATTCAAATTAATTTTCTCTTGATCAGAAAAATCAAGAGGATAGTATTTTCCTGCAAGGCTACAAATATCATCAACATTAAATGCTTTGTAACCATTCTTCGGATCTAATGAAGAGCTAAGTGATAAGAGTTCCATTGTTTGCTCAGTAAACCTTCTATCTAACTCTTGTAATTGAAAGTCAATGGTTAAATTAAAGATATCAAAATGATAGTGATGCTCAACAGTTATTTGATCATGTTGTCAGCGACCACGACCTTCAATGTATTGACCATCAAAATCTAGAACATTTATTTCATGAAGGTTGGGGAAATTAACAACACTTTCAAGTATTCTTTTCCAACCAGCATCTCGTAATTCTTGAATAAGTTCCTTGTACTTGAAACTAATTGTATAACATTCAAAATATCTTGAGATTTTTGTTGTAGTGCTTACCAAAGCTCTTGTTTGTCGTATAGCTTTCTGTACAAAGTGCCCACTAGGCTTTTTATAATATTTTTTTAATTTTATTAGATATATTTTAATTTTTTTATACAAGTGAAAATAGAACACATAATCTAATACAATTTACTCAAATCTCTCACTAAATATATTTTAATTTTTAGCCCGGGCCAAATAATAATTTAACCCGTACCAAATAATAATTAATTATATAATTGTATATAGTAAGTACAATTTATTAAAATTTTGCCTGGACCCGGGCACCCCCAGCTTGTTCGTGGCTCCACTGGTCAGCGGGCGGTAGGGGAAAGAAGAAATAAAAATAAATAAATATTTTGTTACAAAATGTTAAACTCCTTATTAAAAACTTACAGATAAATGACCCATCCAAATAAGTCAGGTCACAAAACAATATTCAAAACCTTCAAATTAGCCATAAAGAAAAAAAGACATTTACGTTTGAAATAACCATAAGCAATAACAAATTTTAACTTGGTCTGCTGTTTTTAAGTTGTGTTCACTAATTTAAAATGGGGAATGAGTTTCTCCCTCCTGCATAAACTAAAAAATGTCTCTTTAGTCTTTTATTTATTTATTTAAATTTGGTGGATTCCACGATTTTATCAGTCCGCAGGAGGGTTATAAATTTCTTCAATAACAAGAAAAACTTATAACCCATTAAAATAGTGGGAAAGAAAAACGAAATAGGAAAATGAGTGAAAAGGGAAAAACATACTTCTTCAATGCACGAATCAGACCAGCAATCTGATCATACTTTGATTAAACAAGTACTGTGTAACTAATGGCAATTTGAACGTCACTTTTAAAAATATGTTGATTTTTATTTTGTATAAATCACATCTATCCTCCATCGAATCAACGCTGTACAAGCTGAGAACATTCACATTATGATGGAATTAATTTTTTTGAAGAAATTTTTTACATTCATAAGGACTTAAAATCATCTTTCCATATCTATAGGTAGGGATGTGCAAAATAACCAAAAAATTGAACTTAATCATGAACCGAACCGAACCGCCCTTAAAATAACCGGTTTTTAAAAATCAGTTCATGAACCGAACCGGGTTTTAAAACCAATTTAAGAACCGAATCATTTTGATCCGAACCGAATCGTTTTCAAACGAACCAAATTGATTTTTAGAACTTTATTTTTTAAATTTTAAATTTTTTTTCTTTTTAAAAGATGGTTGACCCGAACCGGTTCCGAACCGAACCGTTTCCAACCGAACCGCATCACTTTCGAACCGAACCAGTTTTGAACTGAATCGAATCACTTCCGAACCAAATCATTTAAAAACCAATTCGGTTCGATTTTTCAAAAAATCCGGTTCGGTTCGATCCATGCATATCCCTATCTATAGGATCCCAATTAAAATGAGATTTGCATCTATCATGTCACATGACATAAAAAAATTTCCTACACATATAATATTTTGTGGGCCCCACACTTTTTAAAGCAAAAAAAAAAACCAAAATTAAAGCACGCAAAACGAATTTCTATAACATTACATAATCACTTTTCCTACAACATAACTCTTATAAAACCCTTAAAATATATAAGTAAATTGCTTAATAAGTGGATTTGAGTTCGTTTTATGGGTGTACGATTATGTTAAAGATTTGATGCAGAAAAGTTTGCTGCCTTTATGATCTTTCCGACCAGATAAATCTATTAATTGATAAACGAGTGGAAAATTAAAATAAAAAAACATATAGGTAACTATAATTTATGGAAAAAACTATTCTCATCTTACACACTTTTCGATAATTGTGCTATTTTTTTTTCTTTTATTTTTTCAGATAGTGAAGCTTACAAATTTATTTCAATAATATAAAATAATTATCTCCTTCAACATGAAATTAATAAAACCCATAATTTATTCACCTCCATCGGTAGCAAGCGCGAAAAGTTGTATTTATAAAGCAGGGAGAGTGATTGAAAAGGACTTGTGATTGAAGTCAAGTTCAACGTAGCAAACTTCATTACACTGTTGGGCTTGGGCCCATTTAATGTAGAGTGGGTGGGGACTATACGACACGACACCGTTCCTTTGTACCCGGTCAACTGTGCCCCCATGCGTCTTTTACTTGATCCTATTGTGTTGTGTTGGATCTACAGTTACACTGGACTTCAGAGATTACACTAACTTGCTTACGTGCAAAAATAATTATGAAATTATGTTATTTGATCATAATTATTTATTTAAAAATAATATTTTTTTTTATCTTATTATCAATAAGTAATTATGATCAAATAACATGATTAATCACTTTTTTACATGAGAGAATGATCCAAATGCTAGTAACTTACACACAATTTTATGTTATAAAATGTAAAGGAGGAGATGATCATTTTAATGTTAATTTTTCATCTCTTAATCAATTATTGAGATTTTTCACATGTAACCAAGATTAAATTGAGAAGTAACACCAAATGATGATAACTCAATTGATGTCAGGAACTAAGCATGTGAGATTGAGAATATATATTTGATCTTTTTTAATGTAATTTTAGAAGAAATTTAAAGCCTTAATCTCGATACTTATCCTGAATCGAACTAGTTGCGAAACTATCAATATTTAAATATCTAAAATAAAAATAAAAATTGAGACCTAAGACTCTTAAAGAGAGCATTCAGTATTCTCCAACACAAGGTAGCTTTAGTTCACGTGGTCCTTCTTTCCTTCCGTGCCTTTCATTTCATGTCATGGCTGATCTGATATCATTATCACCACCGTCTTGGCTCTCTCTCGCTCTCTCTGAACCCTTCAGTGAGACATATTCTATAAGCCCATAGTTAATGATTAATGAGAAGAAAATTAGACACTTTGTTTGGTTGAAGCTCTGTAATTTGTGCCAGCTAATCCTCATTTTACCCCAATAAATTATTCTTTCCTAAAAGTTGTCTCTTTTTATGTTTTCCCTTCACAATTATTTGTCCCTTCTCTAACTGCTTCATTCAACTTTGGCCCTCAGTGGAAAGCAGTGGTGTACTTAAATTGTCATTAAAAGTTAAAATGGTATTTGGAAATATGATATAGGTGGTGTGATCTAGAACCCCTGAACTTTTTTTTGCACTTTTTTTTCACTTTTGCTCAAGTTTCCTTGCTTTTGTTTTTTTGTCTTGATGATTGGGTTTATCATTTGGAAGTTTCCATAAGTACTACAAGCAGACAATTGTTGTACTTACAGTGAAAAGGTGAATTAGAAATTGGAGTAAAGGAGAGAATGAGTGCTCTCTAACTCTCACATCACATGCACATGTCTCTGATATTCTTTTACTCCTCATTTGATGCAATTTTTTCTAGTCTTCTTTTTGTTCCTTTGTGAGCATTTTTACTCCTCATGGTATTCGCTATTAGATCCGCAGAATGATTATTTACTCACTGCTTCTTTGCAGGCCATGCCGTGCACACCTTCTGTGTCGTTGGTGTTATATAGGGATATAGCTGAGTAGTAATTTGTTGTGGGTGCATCAATATTTGAAGATAAGGTAAACCCATTTGTCCTTTAGGTTGTTTGAGATTAAAGTTTGATTCTTTCCCCCACCCCGTTTATTTTGTTCCTTTCAAATCTATCTGGTTGGTTGATTCCCTAATTTATGTTTGTTAAAATAATGTGCTTTTTGGTGTTATTGTGAATTGTCCTTGTGTGTTGGTTACTTGTAATTATGCACTCAATTTTTGTTTTTTGCTCTCTGCTATGTAAGCAGATGGAAGAGACAGAAGCTTCAAATCCTACTTTGCAAATGTCTATTTCGTTTGGTAGATTTGAGAATGATTCTTTGTCTTGGGAGAAATGGTCTGTTTTCTCACAAAATAAGTACTTGGAAGAAGTTGAGAAGTGTGCCACACCTGGATCAGTTGCTCAGAAGAAAGCTTACTTTGAAGCTCATTACAAGAACATTGCAGCCCGAAAAGCCGAATTGCTTGCTCAAGAGAAGCAAATGGAGAAAGATCCTTTCGGATCTCAATATCAAAATTGTGAAGATCTGAGTTGTAACACTTGTGGGACTGTTGCAGAATTTAATATATCCAGCTTTCAAGGTTCCATTGAAGGGGTTAAGCCAGAAACCAATTCAATTGGTGAGATCATTAGGACCCAGGTGAATAATTTGGAGGAGGATGTTGTAGTTTCAAGAGATTATCAAAGTTCAACAGTTGAGGGAGAGAATGAAGAACTGGAAAGAAGATCACATAGTTCCCAGATAGATAAACCTGAAGAAGTAGTCTGCATTAAACAAGAGGAACGTCCTAACATTGAAACTGAAGGCGGGAAGGAAATTTCACATGATGAGGACAATGAGACTGCAAAGGGTTCAGAAATTGAAGTAGAGGATGTGAAATTGGATCATCCAAAGGTTGAGGGAGAGAATGAAGAACTGGAAAGCAGTTCACATAGTTCCCGGATACATAAACCTGAAGTAGTCTGCACTGAACAAGAAGAACGTCCTAAGATTGAAGCTGAAGTCAGGAAGGAAATTTCACACAATGTGGACAATGAGACTGCAAAGGCTTCAGAAATTGAAGCAAAAGATGTGAAATTGGATCATCCAAAGGTATCTAAAAAGTTATGCTTTAATTCATGTATTCATCAAATTTGTCATTATTGGAAAATTGGAGTGGTTAAACAATAACTTATATCACTTAAAAAGTGGCTATTTGGTTGCCCAGTTTTTCACCATCTATTTTGGACAGGTTACCCCTGTGAATAGGGAAAGCAATGCAGCTAAGATGAAGAAGAAGTCGGTGCTACCTACATCTAAGGCAACCCAAATTTCCACCCAAAGTTCAAGGCCTATATCAACTTCCACCAAAACATTGGCATCTGCCTCTTCAACTAAAAGGGGAAACTTTCCATCCTTATCTGGGAGGAAAGTTACTTCCGCTGGGGAGAACAGAAAAGCTCCTAATAAATCTTTGCACATGTCCCTTAGCGTGGCTCCAAGCAAACTTGATCCTGCTCCTCTTACCATAATGAGGAAATCTTCCTTTATGGAGAAAATGGGAGATAAGGACATAGTCAAACGAGCATTTAAGACATTCCAGAACAACTTCAACCTGCCAAAAAATTCTGGTGAAGAGAAATCTTTGGTAAAAACACAGGTATTTGGAAAAAACATTATGGATAACTGTTTATTATGAATAAATGGTCATATGTTACAGTAGAAAATCACTTTCATTTGAGAATATTTGCCTATATATTTTTTGGGCAGGTTCCTTCAAGGGGGACAGAGCCAAGGGTTCCAACATCTAGAGCTTTGCGAAAGGAAAATAAACAGTAGGTTTTTGAATCTGATTATTGATGTGTTTCTTATTCAAATCAATTTCATTTCCTTGATGTATTTTATGTAGCCTTGTTTTTAATATCTTTCATGCTAATAATTAATATCAACTTGATTGTAAATATTGTTACATGCTTAAGACTACCATATGAGGACACCGTTGCTTTACCTTGGGAGAATGTTAATCAAGGAAACAACAGATAACTGCTGTTTCTCAATTTCTGACTTCAGAGGGTTCAGTTATCCTATAACATGAGCTATCAACTTGTGCCCCATCATTTTAACACCAATTATAGAAGCCTTCCATGTTTCCAGGTTGCAGACCAGCTTTTACCAAAGGCTTCTTCCACTTTTATGATAAAAGGGCAGATTGATGCTATAAAACTCCCACTATGAGTGCAGTCCAGGGAAGGGTGGAACCTATTATCTGAGTTTAAAATAGGCAGCTTAACTTGCATTTGCAAGAGGCTGATTTCACAACTCAAACTTGTGGATCCTAGATCACAAGTTGACAACTCCAACCATTGCACAAGGCTCTCCTTCCTCTTTTTCCCCTTTTGTAATATTGAAATGCCTTTTTGTTGGCTCAGGAGAGGGCTCACCCCATAAGAGGCCCAACTGGATGGGAAGAGGGACAGAGTGTATTGGGGGGTTTGAACCCGCACATTCTTCTTGCATGTCCGACAGTTCTATCAATTGGGCTGTTTCAATGGGACTATTGAAGTAAAATGTTAATATAGGGCAAATATGGAACAAATTAAAAACCTTATTGGAGAAATTTGAGTGGGGAAGGGAGAGAATGAGTCTCTGTGTCTGGGGAACATGAAAGCTATCATCAATGCTCATTCAGAAAGACATTGATTATCACCCCCTCCCATTTCTTTTGTCTCAAAACATATACCATAAACTCTATTTTGATGAAAGTATAAGTAGTGCAATTTCCTGTATGCTGACCCTTTTTGAATTTATTATTAAATAGGTCACCAAAGGTTGACAGTATGGATAAAAGAAGTGGAAATGCTATCCGAACTACTTTGGGCCTAAAAAGTGACACCACAGCATATAAAGGAAAAGAGGTGTGGACTTGATGCATGTCTATACAATACAGTGCCTGTGATATCAAGGGTTCTCATGAGACTAATATGTTCTTTCATCTTTTGTTTTTTAATCAGGTTCCAAGAAAACTAGAGGAAAAATATAATGTAAAACAGGTAGAAAGAATGCATCTTCAATTGAAATCAAAGGTACTCTTTGCTATATTCCTGCTCATACCATATTTATATTTTATAGAGCATTAGATATAATTGTTTAAAGATAGCCAAATGATACTTAATTTTATAGAATGGATGATATTTAGTTATGAGCTCTCCGTTGCTATGAGCATCTATATAATATGCATAAATGGCATATCTTAACATTTGTTTCCTTAAACAGGAGGAAAAGCTAAAACATAATTTCAAAGCCACACCCTTGCCAGCTTTTTACCGGGGTCAAAAAGTATCAAAAAGCCATCCAGAAAAGGTATCCATTATACATTTCATCATTGCCACATCAATAAGTAGGGTGAAGACTAATTATATCATATCTTTTCCTATATGAATAGTAGTTTCTTAACGTATATATTGTAATTTTTTCTTTTGTGCTTAATGACTCAAATTCTAATTGAAGTCGGTCAAAACTTTTATTCCACAAATAACTATTGTCTGGTGATTGTAGGCAAGTTAGGGAGCATAGTGATTCAATAGTTGGTTGGTCACGCTAGAGATAATGATGAAAGTTCATATGGTTCGCAATCCAAAGTCTAACCTCATTTCAAGGATTACTCCATCTGCAAGATATTAATGTTTGATGATATATACTGTCAGACCATCAACCCATCGAAATAATGTCCTGATGTTTGTTAAATTTACTACACACACACAAAAAGAAGAAGAAGAAGAAAGCCTAGGATCAAACTATGCCATTGTGTTACAAATGCAAAATCTAAGAGGCATTGGAGTTACTTTCCATTCAGATAATCATTTAGACTTCAGATTATTTTCCATTCTAAGGCTGAATTTCTTATATGAACTGTGAAGCATAATATTTATGCTTCTTGTTGGAATGGCAGCTATCTCCCAGAAAAAAATCATTAGAATAATTACAAAGCTCAAGCAAAATCATTAAGTGCTGTACACATAACAAGTATTTTCTCAATAATTTAAATTGTAATTGACCATGTCCTGTAACATATTTTCATCCTCTATGAAAAGTTTTTTGCAACATTAACTGTTATTTTGTCTTGTTTACTTATGCAGGGTAATGTTAAGATTGACAAATGGCGGTAGCCCCTTCAGGGGTGATAAGAGAGAGAGAGAGAGATAGAGAGAGAGAGAAGGTTAAATACATCAGAAGACGAATACTATTTATGTGTTCAAAGGAAACGTTGATGGCAAGTTGCCAACAACTTGCGCCATGATATTTTAGTTTAGTCTGCATAAGGGGAATAGGACTTTAGGAGCTTATGAACAATGTGAGGAGTAGGAGGAAGAAGTAAAGCATAAAATATTGATAATAATTTCTTGCAAGAAAAATATATTGTATAAACTTTAATGTCTGTGACGTAAGAAATGCATTTATTTCTTTTAATTGGTTGCATGTTTCCATTCTATGTGTACTAATACGGTTTCTAATGTGTTGGAAACCATATCCCTAAGAAGAAGCTATGGTGATATGCACCCAATCGGTGTATCTTGTTGGGTACATTCATACTTCATCTCCCCATTCATTAATTGTCATGTAGGGAAACATGAAGTTTTACGAATCATGCGTTACATTATCTGTAATATGCACTGTACATGGAACCTTTTTATTTACTTTTTGGGTTGGGATCTAGGGAGGTCCTGTTTGACCAAGGAGGGAATCGAAAACGGTGATGTCGAGGGATAGTACTTGTATACATAACTGCAGTCCCAATGCAATTTTTCAGGCAAATGGTACCTACACAAGCAACAACTCTTGCACTTTGCACAATTGTTAAGATAGTTCGATCTGAGTTTTATGTGTCTTGATCTTGATTTTTTTTTTTAGACCAAATACCTTTTTCGATCCTCAACAAATTTTACGATATCTGATTTAGTCCCTAGTAAATAAAAAGACTATCCGTGGTCCTTTAGAAATTCAAAGTGGATTGTGGGTCTATTTTAGTCCTTTTGAGGACTAATGTGGGTCTTTTTCAATTATTGAGGGATCACGATTTCAATTAAATGAGTACATTTTGAATTTCTTAGGATCACGAATAGCCTTTTTATTTGTTAGAGACTAAAGTGAGTATCGTGAAATTTGCTGAGGACCAAAAATGATATTTACTCTCTTTTTTTATTTTGGTTCAACTTAAAGGAGTTATCCATTGCATTGCGCGGACTTAAAGAGGAATAGAGTTTGGTTAAACTTCAATCATATTAATTTGAAAAAAAGAGAGTATATTAGCATCTCGTTTGAAAAAAAAAAGGATAAAAAATTAAAATAGAAATAAAATAATCATTACTAGTTAGGGAGTATATGTACGTAAAAAATGCGCAGTTCAGAGAATTGGTAGCAAATCTGATTCCTTATCTTGACGAATAAATTCACATTGTTGATGACATCATTTCCATTAGCTGATTAAGTCAATTCTTTTTTGCATTTGACTTGCTCCCCCAGTGACATATGAGCTATGCCAAGTCAGTTTCTTTGGCTTCTTATCCGAAAAATAAAATAAAACAATAAATTCATATGTCAAAAATTTACAAATTACGAGAGTATGTACAACAGAAAATCAGGAAGAGACCACTAAGTTCTGCTTGATACTAAAAGAATCCAACAAATGATATACACCACGTGAGGAGCTATAGTTCTTTATACATTGAAACATACATTTAGACATTTAACATCGGAAAAATAGTAATACCCCCATAAAGATAGTTTCATTCAGCTTCTGAATTGTAAAAGCACAGCTTCCTTTCACACTATCTCTTTAACATCCAATGGTTAGTAGCACTAGTCTTTGAGTTACAGGCAATTCACAAACTCTCTATTGCGATGTCACCTTAGTTTGTGTCCTGCTATCAATACTTTGAATGAAACAACAAAACTCCAATAATTCAAAACTCTAGCCCCTTCACTCAATAGCATAAGTTTAATCACTTTGGCAATGATATGTTCCACCAGTTTGAAAATCCCAGGACACATTTTTGCTGATGATTAGCCAGAAGTTGCATTGGGAGTCTTCCTCTTCTGCATGTTACGCGCAATCTCAATGCAAGTTTGATCAACCATTCCCAGAAAATCCTTGACTATGACAAATAGTTGAAGATTTTGTTCTGCAGTGCCTTTTGAAGCTCCTCCTTGATAATATTGTGTTGTTCTATTGATAAGCTGCAATACCATTGTTTGTTTTTCCCTCACTAATTTCAATTCTTCCTCAGCATTTCTGAGAAACTGGTCCATTTCTTTTACAAAAGATCCTTCTCCACCATTTCCACACCGCGAAACAAGCTCATGAATTTCACCTAGCCGGGTTAAGAGGACTGAGATTGAACCAACTAAACTGTTATAATCTATATGTGCTGCTTTCTTAACATTGGAGAACTCAGAACTGATCCCTCCAACAAGGGGTAATCCTAGAGTTGTATATTCCCTTTCTCTTTGTTCATTTGAGGTGGCACTGTTCTCATGGTTTCCACTGCTGTTGCTGCTTCTGCTGCTACTACGGCTCAGGCTACTATTGCGGTTAAGAACAACACGTTTTCCTTCAGAGCGGACTACTTCTTCAACCACAAAGTGAAGTAAAGTTGTTTTTCCATTGGTGCTCTTCACATCAGAGAGCTTTCTTAGAGAAGCCAAGTTGAAAGCTTGAGCATTACCTCTAGTAGTTCCTGCATTCATTCGATTTCCTGCCTTAAGCACTGCTTCAAGAAGCTTCACAAAGAGTCCCTGGCTTTTAAGCTCCTTACACCCCAGTTCAAGGGTCTGCAGAGATTCCTTGATTTCTAGAATCTCGGAGTCATAGTTAAACCTGAATAGCATGGCATTTAAGCGCTTAAAGGCTGAAGGAACAGCTTTGAGGATGTGATATAAGAAAGATTCAGCTGCAGCAAGGCTTGCCGGGTCTCCTTTGTATTCAAGGATAAGAGATTGCTCTTCTTCTGTTGGTGAAACTCTAGATAGCTTCTCAAGGGTATCTGCATTGAGGCCTTTACCATCAATGAGTGCATCAAGAATTTCACCTTGTGAGACTGCAAGAGATTTCAAAACTATAGAAATGTTCTGTGATTTTCTAGGGTCAAGAAGGAAACTTTTTGTTGATGGAGCTGAGGCATCGCGGCTTGGACTTGTTGATTGACTCTTTCCTTTGGGGGATCTTCGGTTGGTCGCGACAGAGCCGAAGAGAGCTTCCATAAGATCTTGGTCAACCCTGAAGAATTGTATTCAAAGACATGAATTAATGACTAGATTTGATGTAAGACTTATTATTCTTCGATTGGTGAATACTGATTTTACAAAATTTATATGGTTAGGATTACCTGAAAGAGCCACGATCAACTTTGTCCCAAACCATGGAGTGATCAGCATTAGTATTCACCTTATCCCAATGCAAAGGCTTGAGCTTCACTTGATCATTGTTGGTTTCGGTCATGCCTTTCCCTGAAGAGTTTCTTTGCTTGCTGTGGGAGATAGCTGGCATTTCAATGGGGGCAGGTGATGATTTTGATGATGACTTCAAATTACCTGCCTTCAGTGGAGGAGGAGGTGGTGGCACTGGACTCTTTCTAGCTGAGAGTGGAGGAGGGGCAGGTGGTGCTGCTGGAATCTTTCTATCTGGCAATGGGGGAGGAAGAGGTGATGGTGTAGGGTTATTCACTTTTGGAATTGCTGAAAAAGAAATGGAGGATGGTGTTGATGGTGATGATGGAGGGGGTGGAGTGGATGGTTGAGTTGGAGAATCTGGTTTATGAACACCCTTGATAGCAACCCCAACTGATGCAGAAGGAGGAGGGGCAGTTCTTGTAATTCTATATGGCTCATCCTCTTCCGGAGTTATGTGGGAAGTTGAAGATTTCCCTCTAAGAAGAGGAGTTTCTTGTATAGACTTGGATTTTTTCACTTGATTTCCTTCATGGCTATCTTCTTCTTCTTCTTCTTCTTTGTTTTTGGGACTATGCAAGACCTCCTTATAAAGATCCTTGTTGGAGTTTTTCCCTTCAAGTTTTCTCCAATAAATCACATCCAAACCATCCTCATCAACAATCATTCCCCTAACATTTCCATCAATACGCTCAAACGGATTTCCCTGAGGCACAACACGCCTATCTCCAGCAGAAGCAGTGTTAGTTATCTCCTTTTTCCTTCTTGCTCTTAAGCACCTTTGAACTAAAATGAAAATTAAACCACAAACAACTATAGTGCTTGCTGCAGTTGCAGCTACAGCCTTTGCTATCTTACCCTTTGATGAAGAACTACTTGATGCTGCCACTGGTCCTGGGGCATGATTTTGTGTTGGTGGTGATGGGGGTGGGGATGAAGTTTCAATTGGATAAAAAGTTTCAATGTTCTGAGGAGAACTAGTCTGGCAATGACAGGTTGGTATTGAAAAAATGTGTAAAACAAAAACAAGGCTCAAAAGAAGCCATGATTGAAGCATCATGTTCAAAGCCATGAAAGTAGAGGAAATGAGGTTTCTGAAAACAAATGTGCTGTTCTACTTTTTCTGCTCATTGATACCTGCAAGTTTTGTCCTTCTTTGTCTTATGCAAATTGGTTTTGTTTGCTGACAGTTTCAAAAGTGTGGAAGCGGTTAATTCTTGTTGACCTTCCATGGTGTTAAGTAGATCATGCAGATAGGGATGATTTGGTACTTTCATAGAAAGAGTTGGTGTTGGTTTGAGTCATAGATTGACACACAATGCAGCTGTGTCGAAAGGGACTTGGTTTACTTTGTCAAACATAAAACGAAGGGACACATGTGTAGTGGTGCTATAATGATTCAAAAGGTTATTTTGGCCATAAACTTGTGGTACAGTCTTCGGAGTTTTGACTTTGTTGTTTGTCTCTACAACTTAAAAAAACCAACAACTCCTCTTAAACTAAAGATTATGAAGGTTTAAAATAAGAAGAATGGGAACCAATTCCATTGTAGAGGTTCTTAGCTCAAGGAATTGGTTGTGCCTTAATAGTCCTGGTAGGGTCATCTAGAGTATTCAATGTTGTGAATTGAGTAAAGTGGCTCACCAAATTGGTTTTTTAGTTAGGAGAATGCAATGGCCCAACTAAAAGCTACTTTTCCCATTTCTACTTGCTATTGATTACATGTTTTTTCCCTTGGATTCTGTTCTTTACCACGCGGAGATAATCTAATGCTACAGTAACTTCCAAGATCTCTCTCACTATTTTGTTTGTTTACTTCTTTACATTATGTGAATTTTTTTGAGAATGTAGGTCTAACATTTTACATAAAAATATCTTTAACCTAATATAATGAATATAAAATAGCTAGTTTTATGTATTGTTTTTTAAAAATGATCAAATTAACATGGGAAAGGGTTTTTTTTTTACTCCATAATAGAATAATAAGTTTTACTATTCAATTTTTTATTTTTTTTGGTATAACCTCGAGGGTATCCTCATTCAACCTCCTCTGCTCACTTTGTTCTCGGAGTACGGTCCGAAGGCTACCCCTCATTAGAACAACGGGTGCATTAAGCTTCGCTATCGGAGGAAGGATGAGACTAATCCTCCCTGATCCAATCTAACTCTTGGAAGCTCAGTTGCCGATTGAACTACCCTTGAGGGTTCATTTTACTATTCATTAATTAATTGTTGATCTCGGTGCATCTAATTATTATAATTTATTAAATTATACTTATTAATTAATTATTAATTTATAATAAATCAATCATCAAATGCACAGAGATGAACGATTCACTTCATACATAAGACAATTTCAAGAAGATTAGTAGATTGTTTTTTTAAGATTCATTTCGATGAAGTGAATCTAGTAATAACTATAACATTTACATAAGGCTCCGGTCTTAAAAAATAAACATATTATAGTGTTCTCATTTGAAAAACTCAAAGAATAATTTGAGTAACTTTTATAATTTGACTTTTATTTGTGTATGAAACAAGGTATATAAGATGACTGTTTCCAAAGACCTAAAGGGAAGGTAAATTTTTATTCATTCATATTTTTGAATAAGTTGAGCTTTCGGGAAGTGATGGGACAATTTAAATAGATGCCGTATGAACATAAAAGCTGCTGCTAACGTTGGACAACTTCAAATTCAGACTAGCCCACATGTGAGAATGGAAATCCACACCGTGTGTATAAACTCACCCATTGTCTTTAGCTATAGCTCTGACGTTGAAAAAGCTACATTTTGGTCATTGAAAAGAAATATAATGCCTCCAGAATGTTTTGACTCAAAATAACACGAGCATTCAAAATGTCAAACTCAAAAAGCTAATAAACTACACTTACGAATTGAGATGTATAAAAAGAAATTGTTCTCGGAAAAATGATAATTAATATTCAGAAATTTGACAATCTTATAATAGGGGTTTTAAAAATCCTTCTACATGCTAATTACAAATCAATTGAAATTAAATAGACCTAAAAAATTAAAAATTAAAAGCTTAAAGTAGCTTATTATAATTTATTATAGATCAGACAACTGGGTTCCTAGCATAATCCATGATCCACCGCCATGGCATAACAAAAGGCCACTATCACCCAAATATCTCACCATCCAGCATCGGGACCATAACAGATTTGAAAAAAAAGAAAAAACTATTCTTATATCACATGACATAAATTTTCTCTCCTATAATTTGAGTAACTAGTATAATTTCTCTTTTATTTTATTTTATTTTTTCAGGTGGTGGAGCCCACTAGTTTGTCTCTTTGACTTAAGATAACTATCTACTTTAACATGAGATTAATAAAACATTTGAAAAAAATAAGGATATGAAAAAATAATATTAATAAAGATAAGAGTAATGTAAATATGTTATTTTTTTCTTTATATTTGACAAATAATATACCGAGTGATCAATAATTCATATTGCTGAAAATAGGGTTGGCAAAACGAGCCAATCCGGCTCAACCCGATCCAATCCGCATTCAACTCGAAAAAAACGAGTCGGGTTAGGGTTGGCTCGAAAAATAAACAAGCCAGAAAATCCAACCCAACCCGACCCGAGTCGGGTTAGGGTTGGCTCGCGGGTTGGCTCAAAAAAATGGAAAATAAAATAAAATTCCATTGATGCTATAACTTCTAAACTTTTTCCCTAAATTACTAATTCATTCACTACAAAGATATTATACAGATAAACTATAGAAAATTCTTTTTGCTTTTGAGCTTGGACTTATTGGCAGTTGGCACCACATTCACATTGTTACACATTCTATAAAAAAAGGTCCTTAATGCACGGTTTTGGACTTATAGGCAGCTGCAGAGTATTTTCATTTGGGTCTTTGGAATTGGAATTTTAAGTTTTAGCTTTTCACTCTACCTTCATTAATTTTTATACTTTTATATTAAAAAAAATCATAACTCGCGAGCCAACACGTTTAACCCGTGGGTTGGCTCAATTTTTTCCGAGTTAAAACGAGTCGGGCTGACTCGAGTTACTAATTCATTTTCCCTAAACCAACTCAGTTCATTTTAGCCGGATTACAAGTTAACCCAATAGATTGACTCATTTTTGCCAAGCCTAGCTGAAAATATTTTCCTCCCTCCCACCCTTGCACACGCAAGCAGTATTAAAAGGTCTGTCAATTGTCAATCCTTTTATATATCTACTCTTTAGAATCTCATATCACAATCTAATCAGCATTAATTAAAAACTTCAAAAGGAAAAGAAACCTTCGCATTAAACAAAGATAAATCAATTAGCATTAAACAAGTCCAAAATAAGAAAATAATTAAAATAAAAATGCAAAATTATGATATTGTCACTAAAAGTAAAATAAACTAAAAATCTCAAAATGACACACTCAAACATTTTATGCACCTAAAATTCTAAGTCAATTTTAGGCGCCTAAAAGTCTAAGTCAATTTCAAATGCATCATCTTTCTGTAGCACTCCCATTTAGTTGATTTATATGGAGAGAATTTAGTATGAAGACATAATGGTTCACAATAAGCATTATATGATATATGTTTAGGGGAAAACATTTTTGCTTTAAAGACCGAGAACATTATCTTTGCGTAGAGACAAAATCAAAGAGAGAGAAAATATGTATGGTTGAAAGAGAAAAATATGATGGAGTCTACTTCAAATTTTGTCTATGTGGGAGATAATATTCTCTATCTTTAAAGCAAAAATGATTTTCTTATATGATTATATTGTGAGAAAAATATTTATCCTTTTAAATGACATAACTTATATCCTTTTACTCTCACAAAGAGGTGGGATCTACACTTTTATTTTTTTTGTCAACTCTCTCTCTTCCTTTATCTATATTTTTCTCTCTTTTAAAATGACACAACTTTACACTCTTTAAAATGACACATTTTTCCCTTATATTATACTATTTTGGGCAATGGAAAACTTAGGAGAGGAAATCAAGATAGCCTTCAGTTGTGCATAAATTACAATATTAACCGTGTTAAAGTGTTATTATAAGTGGCATGTTTTAGAATATAAAGTATACTAGAAAAAAAATAGGGGGAATGGTGAGCCGAGGGCTAACTTTAGTGGTTAAAATTAATAGGAAAAATGTAACATCTAAAATTTTATCTCTTTCAAATTAAAGAAAGTAGGAGTTTCAAAAAAATAATAATAAATAAAATAATTTTCACGGTAATAATAATTAAAGGATAGTCCCTGACTAATTTCCCATAGCACCCCCGTAAGTTCTAGTTTTCATTTTTATCTAGATGAGTAGTTTGAATTTTTCACCCATGTTTCTTCAACAACGTAGACACCACACCCCTTACCTTCCCCCACACGTGAAAATTAAGGGGGCATTTGATACATGCACAAATTTTGGATTATGAGGAAACGGAGATTGGTAATCCTACTTATCCATGTTTGGTAAAAGGTTTTTAATTTTTTTTTTTGGGAATCTGATTTTCCCATGATTTTGATTTGTGAAACAAAATCTATGGGAGAATACCATCGGGTGGATGATATTTAATCTATGGGAGAATACCATCGGATGGATGATATTTTCAGATTCCCATCTAGGGGTGTGCATGGAGCGGTTCGGTTCGATTTTTGTCAAAAACCGAACTGAACCAGTTTTAAACAGTTTGGTTTTTAAACCGAACCACTCTTTATAAAAAAATCGGTTTTTAATTTGTCCAAACTGGTTTGAAACCAGTTCCAAAACTGGTTTGTAATTCATAACCAGTTTTGATTTAAAATCGATTTTAAATAAAAATCAGTTATGAACCATAAACCGATTATTAAGTTTAAAACTGATTTTATAATAATTTTTTTTCTGTAAAAATTCAAAACAGTTTTGATGAGTTGTGCACAAAACCAGTTTAATGAAAAATTATTCCATAGAATTGGTACATATTATCTTAGAATGTAGCTAGAATTGGTTGCTATTATTTTCAACCAGATAGCCCCAATTGAAGATTCTAAAGCAATATGAAGTCTAGTGATACAAATAAATTACAAATAATTTGTTGACGGAGCATCAAAAGAGTTTAAAATAGACGAGTAATTAGTCATAAGTAATTAATCATAAGTAATTACAAATAAATTCTGGAGCGCACGTGCCAAGCCAAATTATATGTAATCGTACACTAAGAGCAATACCCCATTTTCATAGCGCCATCCTGCATATTAATTCCAAATTATA